CCACAAGAAGCTTCAATCTCTAACTTAGAAGACATCTCAAGTTTGTGGAATGATCAAAAGTCAAAACGGAGTCCTAGAATCCTAGAAACCTTCTCTCAAGTTTATCTCTCTAAACTTTATGAAACAAACTTATGAAGTTTCATTTTCAAATTTTTTATTTATACCTTATCCCTCACAAGACCAACTTTACTCACACTTAACTTATAACCTTATAATTTAAGCTTAAAGTTATGTATCACTAACCTTTTCCCCAAAATAGGTAACAAACATCATATATAATAACATAAAAATCACAAAACAGGTATAAAAGGAAAAAAACTTGGTGTTAAGTTTATCAATCTCTTAATTCTTTACAAAGGTTACCAAATGACTTCCATTGTGATGAAATGATAGAAAATTTGGCTAATATACCTTGCTTTGCCCTTAAATGTAGGTTTAATTATGTTCAATTTTCCCTTCAAAGTATTGAAAGTGCTTTTCAACCATGTTTAATCCAAAGAAATCATATTATGGATGATCAAGCCAAAATAAGCACCAAGAGTTGAAAGGAAGACATAATAATTGCATAAAAACCTATATAATTAATTTAGAAAAGAGTACATGGATTAGGTCTATCTACATCAACCCCCAACAAGGGTGAGTTAAACTACTCGTGGACATGTGAAAACATAAAAGATAGAGAAAATGGTTGGGTAAACCATGAAGATGTTTTGTAGTCATCACTTTTTCCAAAGAGGATCCCATTAGAATACAAGACAACTTGTCCCTTTTTCATTAGCCTTTAAATATAATCATTAATAATGAGTCACATTAAGCACCCTAATAATGTTGCTTAAGCAGGCTTGGATAATCATTGGAGTTTGGCCCGTTTAAGTGAGTATAAAAATTCACTTGAGCAAGCAAGGACACATAATGTGTAAAACCTTTGGGAGTCTTCTTGCTTAAGTATAACTAGTGGTCACTTATTCAAGACTTGATAATCAAAATCAAATTCCCTTCTTTGTGCTAGTTTAAGCCTTGAAAGTCTTTCTCTTGTCTGACTTAAGCGATCAAATTGGTTTGCTTAAGCAATAATGAATCTTCAAAATTGTATTTTTTAACCTATTTCTTTTATAAAACTTAACCAAAAGTAAATAAATATTAAATAAACCTATGTATTTTATAAATTTATGAAAAAGGTTTTAAAGTATAAGAAATTTAGAATAATTTCCCTAATATATCTAAAAATTAAATTTTATATAACAATTATCATGAATCACAACAAATAGTGTAGTCATGTCATTACTTAATCTTGAATCACAATATAGACTAGTCATATCATTATTGTCCTTTATGCAATATAATTATTAATGTAATATATTTTGGGGTTTAGGGTTACATCCAACTACATAAAAGGTGTTGCATCCAACCACAAATGTTGCTTCAGGTTTTGGGTGGACATAACATTCATGTGTTGTTGGAATATTTTTAGGAGTAAGTTAATGACATGCTTGAACTCAAGGTGGTGAATTGGTGATAAATCAAAACTAAAACAAAAAAATAAGATAAATGTGTGAGAATTTTGCTTAAGAAAAGAATAAAGCCCACGCACATGTGGTTGCTTAATTCTTTGTGGGGGGGGGGGGGGGGGAAAGGAAGG